ATCAATCGCAATAAAATCACCAATCGTGAATTTGAAACGACTGCACGATCATTCGTAATTATTAAGAAGCGATTGATTGTAAGTGCGAAAGAGTCTGAAATGTTGATTAAGTTGATCAAAAGAACAGATTATCAACATAGTGATGATAAGTTAATGTTTGCTGTTATCATGCAAGTTTTTCATTTGAACGATGACGGCTGCATAATCAGTCACTTGTTCAGACTATCATTATAAAATAATATTTTGTGGTACCAACTATTGTTACTTTTTTGAGATTTTGTTGATTAAGAAACATTGCTGTCTCTCTCTACTCAATTTGTCATGCTTCTTCTCTCATCGCATCAACTAGTCGACTTGGTCAGACTATCATTATAGCAGCATTATTCATAACATTACTTCTTATTCAGTGGCTGCATAGCTTACAAAAGCATAACATTATTCAGTGGCTGTAGATTGTGACTGACTAGGAATAAAGGTTCGAATTTTACAAATGGCCAATAGAATGGGTTTCTATTTGAAAGCGAGATGCTTGGTGAGGAGATGCACTGATGATAGTTTAGATCTTTATAACTCTCTTTTACACTCACTTGAGAGTTCACAGTTGAGTTCTTTGATTGTTTTTCGACTAAGTTCAAACACAAATGTTCAAAAGAAAGTGCTGCTGTTATATTGAATTGCACGCAATAATCCGTCTATCGTATCAGACTAGTTTACAGGTTTCGTTGAGAACTGAAAAAACAGTTTTGTCCACGAGGCGATCATCATGAAAAATCTATAACCTGCAGCACCATCAGAGTGAAATAAGATTCATTATTTTGAATAATCGTTTTTTGGGCCCGCGAAATTACCTTATCTGATGTCAAATAATCTTGTATTGAAATTTAGTCGGCGAAATATTTTCAGTTCAGCGGGCCTTGTTCAGATAATGTCAGTGATAAATACAACCGGCAAACTTAAAGCGCAATACGGACGGTGCATCCTGAACGGAAAGAAATAAGATCGACTAGAGTGCCGTAATCAACTGCTGACTTAAATTAGAAGCTGATTATGAAGAACTCGTGAATGAAAATGTTTCATAGTGTCAAGTGCACATCTATCTAACGATTTTCTTCTGATACAATGCAAATGAATGTGATTTTTTAATTCATACGAATAAAAACCCAGTGTTAACTCAACTGCTACGAAGCAATTGAGAATTTTCGGTGAACAGCAATCACACAGACCAGCACAATCGTGATACCAAACCATCCATTTCTAATTTTTCCTCCATGATAATAAAGAATACCTCTAATGTGGTACTTCCACTCACTTTCATTGTTAAATTTCCTAATCTGTAGATGTTGAAATACAGTAGAACAAATTTTTCGCTGAATGCTTTCTGTAAAAAATCTCCCATTAAGCCCTCAGCCGAATGACACTAATGTCAGCAGTCATCAAAATGCTCAATTTTTTCATGATAAAACGAACGAACATTCCATCTGCTCTATCACTCTATTTTTTGGTCATTAAAAATGAATCAGACTCAGTGAGAAAAGTGTTTTTTTTCGTCCTCAACACTTTTTTCACTGAGTCTGACTCATTTTTAATGACCAAAGAATAGAGTGATAGAACGAATGGAATGACATATACTTTTTTCACTGAGTCTGAATCATTTTTAATGACCAAAAAATAGAATGACAGAGCGAATGAGGACTAAAACAAAAGGTGTTTTTGTTTCTGTCAAACTGGTCACGTGCACATCAGTGAATCAGACAATGATATCAATGTATTTTATTCTTCTTCAATAAACATTCTTTAATGAACACGGTCAGGAAACACTATAATGTAGCATTGATATAGCAATGTTTGGGTACTATTTCAGCAAAATTTCACTACAGAAATTGTCAACGATTCAAAATGCGCTGATCAGAGAACAATTTTTGGTACCCTCATCACAGTCATGACATCTATTATCTGCGCTGTTACTCAAAAACATTCTTGACAGTTTCACTAAGGATGAACAAAAACATCACGTGGAATGGAATATAACGTCGACTTTAAAAAATTAAACGAAAAGAAATTATTACAAATGAGGACTGAAACAAAAAACAATAACAGCAACTTCCACTGTCCTCAATATCAATAGTAATGATTAATAAAAGTTACGGCTCTATCCGCCTTCGTTTTGTGGGGTTCACCTTCCTCCGTAGTAGCTGAAATCAATTCGTCTTAATGACAAGAAATAATATGATAGTCGAAAAACAACACGAACACTCGACTGAGAGGAAGAAATCTCGTCAGCTTCTAAAGGAATTCGAGTAAAAATTGGATGTAACTCGCGACAAAACTCGGGTAAATTAAGATATTGGGAATCAAATTCGATCAGATTCAGTCCCCAAAACTGATGTCGACACAATCCTCAAGAACTACAAACAATAAATTATCCACATGCCACAAAATACTCATCTATGTTCATCGACCCACATTTCTTAGTGATGATACGCCTCATAATACATGAAATAACGCAAATTGCATTATGCCAAAAGCAACCAAAATTAATTCAGTAATACGAATGTTCACCTTAGCTCGATCAGGTGCAATCTTCATGAAATCATCGTCCGTAAATACCGACTCAGATACCTCTTTCTTTTGTTTGAACGGATCCGGTTCTCGAACACCAACTGAATGAAAACTCTAATTGCACTGGACTTCATACAGTTGCTCAATGATACCATGTATGAGGATCACAGAAGCAGCCGCAAAGATTCAAATGAAAGTTGTTATTCAAGGCTTTTTAATAGCAATAAAGTTCGCCTAGCACCAACATCACAAACTGCATAACAGCTAAAAAGACTTCAAAATATTCTGCAATTAGATCGATGGTTCAGCTGAACATCAAGACCTACTCAAAATAAACACTAACACAAAAAACAATCACAGTACCATTTTCTTTCAGCAATTCTCGACGAATCTGTTTCA